CCAAATAGAATAAAATCCTCGATAATTTCAATTATTTTTCTCTATTATCATGATGTTACTTAATTATTCTTTTTTTTTTTTAGTAAACAAGCAACTTTTAAAAAATGAAAAACTGCTCTTAGGTCATGATTTATACAAAAAACGCTCTAGGCCAGATTTGCTCTGTGGGTAATAGTTTGCCAACATCTGCCATATAATTTTCATACATTGCACTAGTTTCCTAAAAATAATAATGGCCAAAGAAATTAAATAATGTTTTTCCCTTTTTCCATTCATTCCATAAATAAAGTCTTCATTGGACAATAAATAAACAGATAATGGAATCTTACAAGTATCCATTCTTTTACAAACATATTTTGGGAGACATAACTTAATAGGACTAAAAAGTTGCTTGAATGGTATTGGTTAACCTCAAGCCATAGTCTTTCTTTCCAATAATATTTATCACCAAGCTTTGTTCCACAGAGAAATTTACTACAACTGTGGAAAAGGAGTATCACTGAACCTGTTAAGTAACAGGATAGGGACAGGGTTGTCCCTCCCCATGCCTGAAGGCCCCCATCAGGGAGGTTGGAAGACAATCAGGCGAGCCTTAGCCAGCCATAAAGACTTACTGGGCATGCTCCAATTTAGGCCTTCCCCACCACCACCCGAGCCAGGTGGGTGGTATACCTGGGTGGCCCAACGTGGGCCAATAGGGTCAACCAATACCTCCGACCACGCCTCCCCAGCCTGAGGTTTAAATACCTTACCAGTGGGCCCACCCCCTTTTTTTTCAGCCTTCTGCCCTCTCCCCTGGAATCCTGGGCCTTGCTGAGGCCTCTCTGGCCTCAGGCCACCACATGTGGTGAGCAGGCCCAGGAGGCCGGCCGTGTTCAGTGGTGAGCCCCAGTGTGGCTTACACGGGGTTTGGCACGCTTCCCCCAAACACCGTGTACTCTTAGAGACTGTAAAACCTGAAACTTCTTCCATCCTTTATAAAAACCCACTTGGATCATAAGCCAGGCTTCAGTGCGTATTCTTTCTCATGCGAAGCCAAGAACCAAGGTATTTCCCACCAGAGAAATCTAACAAACCCTCCATGAGAAATAAGACAGAAAAAGATCCGTAAAAAAATTACACCAACCGTGCCCGGCTATCAAAAGATATAGCATCTGTGGTCTTAAAGGCTTGAAAGTAAACAAGCAGCCATCTAGCTCAGAAGCAACAAA